GCTGAAGTATACCTAAAATTTGGTGGGTTGTTAACAATTTGGTGAACTACTGAATGTGGGTGGATTACTTTAACAGCCATTTAAGAATCCATTGCTTCGGCATCTGTGACATTCATTTGTTAGTTTTGACAACGCCTTAGTGACATCTAAAGTTTCTCACGGTGTAGTATCCACACTAAATAAGTTGGGAGGAATTGTGTTCCCCATTGAAATTAGACATCCTGATGTTGTAGAATAAGTCGATATCTTGTCAACAGAACTTCTCCTGTAAACCATTTCATTTTCCAGTATCGATATGTCTGTGCTGATATTGGAAGCCGTCTCACACATAAGAGGCATTTTTTAAGAACAGTTGAAATGTCCAGAGTCAATTTCCTATAAATATTACGGATGCACACACAGTACCATTCCAGTTTTCACTGAGCACAGTTGGTTAGTTGTCTGTCACCTATATACGCCAGGTTGCTTTGTGATTAAACTAAATAACCTGGAAAATCAAGAAAGCTAATGGCAGCGATTTTGCAATTCCTTGGTTGATCAAGTAATTCAGCCGACTCAGTCGTGGCTCTGATCGGCTCCTGGAAACTGACGATGTTTCGTTGAACGGATTGCAATTTAGCGCCTTCTAGCTCAGAACTAAATTAATCCTTTCGTTTATCAATAGACGCCCAAGTTACTATTAAGAGCTATGCTGCCGAGACGTTACAGAATGTGCTGTTAGACGACCATTATGAAATAGCTGATCGTGCATCAGTAACATTGAGAGGAATAGTCGAAGGGAATGGATGTTTATTACCGTAAGTAGCATGTTCTACTTTTTATTCTCAAACGTATCTCTAGTTTAAGCCTAAAGGCTACTTCAAACTACCTAACACCGGTTGTGGTTCAATTACCACAACTGAATTTATTACAAATTCCTGCTTTAACCCCATCTAGTCCTCATTCCAATCAAGATCCGCCAAGGGAGCCACGAGTGCCGTCCGATTACTTCACTGTGGCATAATATAAGGGAATATGGCCATTTTCTGCATAACACGAGTGTGCTGCAATGATATGATGCAAAGGAAGGGCTGAAGAAATCAACACGGAAGCGGTCACAGAAGTGATGAGTTAATTCGTGCAGGCGCATATAAGGCTTCACAATGTTTAGTGAGTAAAACCTCGTCTGGATAATCACACGGCGAAGTTTTTTTGACAAACTCTACCCCACGCACGGTTCTAAATGTATTCATCCACATAGAATCTTGGACTGGGTGTTAACGCTTACAACCAGTTGCATGAATCATGTCGTATCATCTAACTTCACCTCAGACACGATGCGGTTGACACGCGGAAACAGAATCCTAGGAATGGCAGAGAAACTACGCATCAAGAGATCGTTTAATTTTTTAAAAAAAGCCATTTACCAGATATGATGGAAATGACTTCATGACATGGACAGTCCGGTGGCTCCGACTGAGAGCATTTCAGCCTTGGCACTAATTTTATGCCAAAATTGTGCAAAATGGACTTGTCGTGTGTTCCAGGGTTGACGAAGGGGGCACATTCTTCGCTTACCACCGTCTTCGAGAACAGAGGCTTCCTGAGACACGTACTGCGTGCATAGGAGAGGTCAAGAGTGCCCGTCAGAAACGAGGCACGTAAAAGCTGCTGGTTAGAGGTGGAGAGCCCACATCAGCCATCGCCTCGACTTAACCTGGCACCCACACTGACGTTGCTTACGCTGGATCCACAGCTGCGGGTTTGGCCTTCCATCGCCTAGGAGAAGTAAGGCTAAATACTCCATTTTTTCACCTCACTGCACCAATGTGGGTTTCCATCGTAAACCCCTAGGCATCCAGTCATTGGGGAAGCCCCTTTAACGCCTTCATCAACTTCACCCTGATTACCGCTTTGAGGAAGATACGCAAACACAAAAAGGTGCATCTATTCTGCATTTAAGTGCTTGTAGAAACACAATCTTCGAGTGCACAAAAAAACCTTGCAAAATATGTAAAAATCAACACGTCTTCTTCAAGTGCTCTGAAGGTCTCTCGCATTGGCTACCACGATGGATCCTGGAAACGTTTAATAACGTCCACATGCTCGTCCAGGTCCGCTTGCACTTTTGTCCTCATGTAGAAGATCGGACAGTCACGGCTGAAGTGAGGAAAAGCAGAGTTTCGTGGGCGGTTTCAAGGGTTCACCAAATCACAACATCGAAAGTAACAAGAGTCCGTGTTTCCCATCGCACTACGTATTTCATCCGGTCAACTTTGCCATCATAGTTGCTTTACCAAGACAAACATATACAGAACTTTGGATTACGAATACAAACAAGCATAAACCTTCCGCTACATATAAACGCTTTGTCCACATAAACATGCACGCGAAAGAATTTTCCACTAAGGACTTGCCACTGTTGCGAGGACTTCTGCAGGAAATTAACTGAAATACTCGGTGAATAGAGTACATTTAAGACCTGATTGTATCTGCCAAGCTTATGACAGCAGTTTGTGATTACCAATTTCAAGCCGTTGATATTTAGACGGATTTTCCAAGCCGCTCCCTCAATGGTAATCGTCATTTCGTAGATTGTGATACCGGTTCCGCCACACAATGTGCCAATGTGCAGCGAAATATTACACACATACAATCCGCAGCAAAGGAAACCCATTTTGGTTTTACTTGTTAGCAATAGCACAACATGAGACAAATATTCTTCTTGATTACTTTCATGTGTGTTAAGGACTACAGGTACAAATGAGAAGTGCAATATAAAATTAAGCCAAGGCAGGATCCTAAGTCCTTTGGGCTGAGAACGGACTGACCTTGTGCAAATTACTTGTTCGTGAACGCTGCCCTGACAACGCTGGCACTCAGTCCAAAGACGAGCAAAGCGCGCCTCCAAGGAGCGTAGGCGTTCCGCCTCCTTCTGGTAGATTTCTGAAGCCCTCGGCTGGCAGTAGGAGCACAGCGCCTCCGCTGAATCAACAAATGGGTCCAATTATTAATTTACAGCCAAATGCACATTGAATATGCAGTAAGAAGCATAATTGCGTTGCGACTATTGCCCCCAACACTTTAACAATGTTTTCCCTGCTAACCTAGGGTGGAGATAGTTGACGTTAGTGTCAGTAACGAGAAACAATACTTGGTTACCAGCAACATTGACTGTAAAACACAGAATCAGTGGACGCTTTTTCCAACGTTACCGCAGTCCCCGTTGCGTGACTAAAATTTTTTTAAAGGCACAGAATTCTACTCAAAACCCAAATATTATGTACATCAGATACAGAAAAAAACATACTTTCGTTGTCTTTAGACGGTAGAGATCGGCACCCAATGCACGACGCGCGTTTTTGTGTAAATGCCGACAATTGGCCGACCTTCGAGTGAACGACTGATTTCACCAAAGTATGCTCGCCAGCTGAAACGGGAGAGAGAGATCGGATCAATATGTCAGCCTAAACTCCCTCCCCCCATGGTTACGCTAAGACAGCGTATACAATAATTGGATTAGTCCCAAACCGATACTCCAGCACAGTCATGAAAACGTCTTTTGCCAGCCAAGTCCGCTTTTTCATTTGCTGCTGATTATAGTTTGACAGTACAAGCCCGATCATTGTGCATATTACTCCAAGGAGTAACAAGTTTACGGGTCCATTGTTTGTCTCTCACAGCAATATTTAAGAAGCCTACAAATGTTTTAAGGTGGACCAATAAAGGACGCCACTCACTTAGCAAAGCTGACTTCGCTTTGGCTTCGCCAAGAATAGGCTCAAACAGTCGCATAAGGGGGTTCGCCAACTGGTTCTCAAGGTAATACTTAGCGTCGATGGGCACGCTGTGTTTGAGCACATAGAGAGGATCCTCGGCCTTGGCGTAGGCTGCGGTGTTCTTGCCGCCGACGGCTGTGATGACGTAGGGCACCCGATCACCAAGTTGCGGTGCAGAACCGGGATCGCGTTTGCGCATCTTGTTGGCAAGTTCCACATGAGCCTGCTTGCCAGCGTACTCCTCATCGGCTTTGGTCAACTCCTTGCTAATAATCAATTGGGCGATGTCGATTCGGTTGCAGAGCAAGTCTGAAATTGTACTCTGTGCGTAGCCAACAGCGGCGGAAACGTCTCTGTGGCAGAAAAAAACAATCATTTAATGCAGTGCAGTCAGAAGCGGAGCTTCCACTTTTCGTCCTAGCAACATCAGAACGAAGCACAAATTATAACTTATTGTGAATTAGACGAGCCGAGCTATTGATTAGGCGCCTACTACTCCCACCGATATAGATTGACTGTAGCAGCGATGACGGAAAGCATCTAATAGCAGCGAATGCCATATGCCCGGTACAACGTGGGCTAAAATTCAAGCTGCGAAGACGCATTTTCTAAGCCTCGATGTTAATCATTGTGGGTATGTAGATGTTGAATGATACCATTAAGCAATCAGCAGGAAACAATGTTAGGTCAGGAAAATCTGCAAGACTTTCAATGATGCAGTATCAAAAATCTATGAGGGCAAAATTCACCCCACATTTATTTTGAACATTGTAATGTTTACATGCACAAGTTATGATTTCTATGAACATTGTGGTCTCGCAAATACATTAATTTCACCGCAAATAAGAATCAATTAAGCAGGCTTCTTTGGTGAAAGGAAATGACAGGATCCTTCGGTAAATTCTGAAAGAAATAGCTGGAAAAGTTTGATGTTGTGGCTATTCACTACTTGTTACTATTCGCTTTTGTTTAGGTTCTACCGACGCAAATTCGATAGTACCGCACATGCGCCATCATGGTAACCGGGTTTATACGCAACTGGTCACCCAAATTACCGTTCACACTTTCTTCAAATCGAAATACGTTAGCGGCCGAATACCAACCTCTATAACTTGAAGACCTAGAAATTTCTCACCAAATGGGATCTCGATTCTACAATCCTCAACAAATATATTTTCGACGTCAACATAAAATTGTTTGCTACTTATTAAAGGTACTTCATGTTAATATCTGCCAACCACACCAGCAATGTAAAATACATTTCAAATCATGATAACCATGACACCTCTAAGTAAAATCGATTCCTCAAGGTGATTAAGTACTTTACTCAATTTTCTTTATAGCGAAAATTGAGGCCGGCACCCGTAGAAACTGAGGCGGTGAAATTTTAGAGGCTAGATCTGCATTGTTAACACGCGCACTTAGTCGATGACAGGAGCAGTCGTGAAGGTAAGCTTTTTCAGCAGAAACCAAGCATGAGTTTGAGGGGGCGTACCTGTCGATGAGAATCCTCTCGAGACAGGCGTTCACGAGATTGGCTACGAGAGGGCAGTTGTCTCGTCGGACAGTTTCGATACCTTTGCAGTCCAACTTATCATATTTGTCGGGTTTTGTGAAATAAAGACCAGCATACCGTTTCTTGTTTATAAGTAAGTACGGAAAGTAAACCTGCGAAAGAGGATAAGGTAGTTGTGTTGGATTTCCAGGCGATTACAAATTATAGCATGCGCAGGCAAACCACAAATATTTAACGGTAAAATAACAGCCCTAGCACTTAGAAAAATGCCAAACAGATTGTTCCGTATAGAGACAGGTCGCGTTTGCAAGAGTGCTATTTTAGCCAAACGGGGTTCAAAATAGCGAAGGCAACACTCATCACCAAGACCATGTTCATGCAAATCTAAAAACCTACATCCTACCATAACCACGCATCCGTACAGTCGGCCTAAACAGAACGCAGAACGAATTCTTATACTCCAGTTTCTAATTGTACATCAACTAAATATCCAAACGTACCTTTTCAAATTCCAACTTAATGGGGTCCACAAACTTGCTAGATATGTACTCAGCACCCTCACGACCAAGATCCATAGCTTCTTCGACGGTCGAAACACCAAATTTGCACATAACGGAATCCGTATCACCATAGATAACCTACAGAAAGGATACAGAAACGGTAGCAACACAAACATTATTCATAGACGTCGAAAAAGATAACTGGGCCGGACTAAGTTACCAGAGGGATGTTTGAAATGCTCTTTTGGCTGGGGAAATCCCATAAAGACAAATTGATATAACTAATTTTATCATAGTAATCATAGCACTGCATTGAATCAGACGCAAGTCAAACATGCCAGAATACAACACGGAACATCCACGCAGTACCGACGAATCAAAATACCGGTGTCACACTCCTACTGTGAAATTGAGCTCAGGCGAATTCAATGGAAATAGCCAAATGTATGAGTTTGGTAATTAGAACTTGCTGACTTGAATAAGTGAACTGCGACTTCCACCATGCATACGAATTCTGCAAAGAGATCAAGCAAAGGCACGCACCATTGCATTATGCTTATAGCCGTTTGCGGTGGTGAATTTCTCCTCCACGTAGCGCTTTGTCTCTTCAATCATCTGACGACCGAAACCCGTGACTGAACCCGAGATCTCCAAGCAAGGCAGCTTTCCAACTTGAGCACCCGTGAAACCGTAGACAGAGTTAGCACTTATCTTCAGGGCTAACTGACGACCATCTAGGATTCGACGTTTAAAAGGATCGGTTTCAACAGCCAGTTCAAGCTTGGCCCTAAAAAGGATGGCCAAGTGTTAAGTGAGCTAGGCGCACAATATAGCCAAAGTTTTTGGATCAAGTTGAGACACGACACCCAAGGTCTGGCATGTTAGGGCTACTGTAAGAGTCACGTGGTGCTAGTACGACTCTGGTAGTCTGAGAAGCACACACAAATTAGTACTTAATTAAGTTCTCGCTAGTGTTTTCAATCCAAATCTATCAGTTTAAATACCTGCATCCAATTAACAACTTCAGGAAACCCAGACCTCACAACTGCAATGACACAAGTACGAGCCTACCGTGTTTCAACAAAAACATGGCTGAATTGAAAAAAAATATTACACCAGACAGAGCGACCACTAAGGAAAGCTACTGGAACATTCTAAAAGTGACCACTCACATAACCATGGATAGTTCTAACGATGATAACTTACTCATACCGTCTATGGTTTCCTTATAGGCTGCAGTAACTTAACATCTCGCATTCGTCAATGGTCAACTCACTTTTTCCTTGCTGACAACAGTTCTTCCAAGATCAGAGGTAACAGGCCTTTGCAAACATGCTTTTTCACAAAGTAGCAGCCTGTGGGTGTCTTGATGTAGTCGTCGGGACTAAGATTGTACTTGGACAATAGGTTTGCAACACTCCCGCATGCGGAGATAGCCTCCGATGTCAAAAGGGTGGTGTAGCACAGATTATGAGCCATCATAATGCTAGGGTACAGGCTAGAGAAATCGAGGGTTGCGATTGGCTCGTTATAAAAACCACGAAGAGGTTCAATGACAGTGGCGCCCACGAATTCGTCCCCTTGACCTGGCCTCTGAGTGGGCAATAGAAAACCGCGTTCCTTCGCTTTTCTTAACAGTTGAGAAATAACCTATCAGGGCGGCAAAATATAAAAAAATAAAAACAGCAACGGACGCAATAAGTGTTTAAGTCTTTCAAAACAAAGCAGCCCTACTTTAACTTGTTGGCCTCGCTTCAGAAGGTAAGTAATAGGTACGCCTGTTATTCTAGCCATTTCGACATTGTTCACAACAGACATCAGTTTGTCCAAAAGGCGTAAAGGCAGGTAGGCGTCTTTCAGGCAGTAAATAGCCAGACGTCTGCGCGTTTGATCATTTCCATTTTGAAGGTCGGTGATGATGTTGTGCTGAACGTCTTCCTTCTGTTCTTGCAAAAAATGGTAACTGACTGCATTCAACGTGTAGCTTCGCAGTTTGTAGTCCCTGAGCAGCACCTACGAGGGGGTGATTTGATTTAAAATATTGCATTTACGAACGAGGCGGACGCAGCACAAAATTCTGCTTTACAACAGTCATAATTTTAACAGATTCGACAGGTTTGGCATACCTGTAAGAGATCGAATTGGATGCGTCCGTCAATTGAGACGTACTTATTCTCCCGTCGGCCCATCTGTTTTGAGTGAATCATGCTCTCCCGCACAATCGACTTTGATCCGAGCACACGACCCAAGAACGGGAAAGAGGCAACCTTGAGATGAGCGCACCGGTTCACCAAGTAGGGCAGATCAAAATTCTGCATGTTGTACCCCGTGATCATGTCTGGATCCACTATCCGCACAAAACGCGCCCAACTCTACGTGAGGTAAAAGTGAACACAGTAAAAAGTGGCACTCCCTAGACTACCAGGATATTTTTTTGCATTAGTCCGAACTGACGAAAGGGTAATTAACTATGGATCACGTTACATATCCCATAAAATACTTACATTGCAATCACATTCATAAACTGGCATATATAAATGAAAAAAGTGGATTGGGTAGTGGTAGATAATGTGCTGGGGATTTCGGTTGCAATTACAACCTACCTTCACATTCTAATATGTTTCCAACGCTTCCCCTGTTCCCACACTTACAGATTTGAACGATACTTAACATCCTGGGTCGATGGTATAGTGTTTCAGTATATGCTGCTTTTGATTTATAGTGCTTTTAAACTATATGCGCATAATGCATGAAGCAAATGCAAAAATCATAGGTGGAAATGAGAGTTCTAGGATAGGGAAAGTGGTACCAAGCCCTCTAAAAGTTCACACTCCAGCCGACTCCAAAAGGCAAGATGTCAGAAAACACCAATGACCTGAACATGGGGGATATTACATTATTTTAGCGGAAGTCGAGCTAAGGCGACTCACCATAAGCATTTCCCTTTCTGTTGAACAACAAATGACGTGTGAGCCGACGATAGGTGCACAGGTGCCAAGGGTGAACACATTTCTGATAAAAGCTTTCGATTCACCATAATTGACTACCATATTGGCGATCTGGATGACAGCATCGTGCTCTGGGACAGGGAAAATTCCTAAATAGAAACCCAACACAACCACATTACTACTACCGGGAGAATTGGTTGTTATCACTTTGTTCATTCACATCAATTCACTTAGACATCTCAATGAAAGCAAATGAATGTGGGTGAATTAAACCGCTTTACACATCGTCCTGAACAGTAATTGTATAAAAATAAGGATTCAAACAACATTCATTGTTTAATGATCTACCTAGTAGAAATCTACGTTGGATAAATGGTTCAGTTAGCGAAAGTCTCAAATCAGTTAACCAAACGGGCATTCAAGGACTAATAAAAAGGGGGAACTTGATGAGCAATCTACCCAGCTCTCAGAGCACTCAGAAAATCAAAACCAACAAATAACGTGTGCGCGCTACAACACCAGATATTTCGACGGAAGGCAATGCCTCAATGCAATACGCGTTTCCAATTGGCACAGCTTCAAAAACGCGAATCCTCAATCAATCCGACTAATTATACAACACAAATTGAAATGCTTGCAGTGTTATTGAGAAAAGTTACATCTCAAAGATGGCACCTACAAATTGTACAAGTGCCAGTGACAATTTTAGTGGCTTTTACAACGACAAAACCGTTGTGCGTCTGGAGAGGCACGTACTGTTGAGAAAAAATTACATTCATGGACAACAAAACTAACTTTAGCGTGAATGCTTGTTAGAAGTTCATACCCTAATAAAGTAACCGATAAGCTGCGTATTTATAAGCCCATTGCGTAGACCGTCATTGCACATGTTTACCCATCTGTATGCGAATTGGCTTAATGGTTCCTGCGCTGCAGCAAAATACGAAATCACACTAACGGTCTTCAAGATAACCTAAGACCCGAAGCAGTCTACGGGTAAATGAATGAAAAAATAAAGCTTGGCTTCTAAGTCCAAATATGTAGACAGTAAGGTGCCGGGCATCCTCAATCTACATGTTCTGAGAAATGCACTCGGGATTAAAATGGACGTGACGACGTCTCCTATACACGTAGCAAGAAACCAGTTCATCATACAAAATCTTCTTGAGACCATATTGAACTATTCAAATCACGCTACCTAAAACGGCTGGCTACCTTGTGGCTAAACTGTGATAACCTGTGTGCCTGTTACTTGTTCGAAATGATGTGGATCCACGTATATGCAATCGTAACTTGGAAGACGTTAAACATACGTGTGGACAAAAATATAACATTTAGATTTCTTTACTGGGTTAACACATATCACACCTGGAAGTGATAAAATTACCAAAATTAATGTGTTTAAACCTATTCAAGGTGTACGGAGTGTTTAAAAAGTCACAACTTTTGCGCAGATTACGACACATAACTTACAAGCTACAATATAATGTACTCGATTAGAGAACACAGAATGAACAATAGACACGTACCCTTTCGACTGGCGCACTCTATATCAAAACTGAGAATCCTAATGGGCGCAATCTTACTCCATTCACCGTCAGTGGAGTATGTAACCACGTCATTCCACGCTACGTCGACCTCCAGCTGACACCTCGTCTGTTCCACCATTGGGGAGACAAAGTCTCCACAAGGAGGTGACAATTTCGCCTTTTTCGGTGTCGTTTTATAAAGGGACGCTGCTTGATCCTTCTGCCGCACAAGGTACTTGGTCGCGGGTAGCTCGATCCAACAACACCCAGTCATGTTAATGTCGACCATGAAACGCGTCTCAAAATCAATATTAGCCTCAAAAGGGGCGTAGGACTAAACAAGGAAATATTTTGATAAGCAAACACGCAAAGTTAATCGGAGCCTTAGGGAAACCTACATGGGTATGGACAGCACTAAAAGCAAAGCCATTTTCTAGGATGCGCCTCGCGGTAGCGATAAATCGCGGAAGAGAGAGCGTAATTCGAAGGAATTTGGATTTCACTTTATTGTGAAAACCGAAGATGGCTGAAAACAGAACCAAAAAGTAATTCACTAAACGAAGAGGAACACTACAAAATGGACCAAGTATCGCTAACTGTTGACAGTGACGTTCTGCGTAATCACGTTCAGAGTCAACAAATTCGCTTTTTACGAAGAACAAACATTACCCTTTAGACAAAACGAGCCCCGTATATTAAATCTCTACGGTCATTTGTCCTATTTATCATCAATACAGATATCACCAGTGATACCTTGCCTGTCCAGTGTCAATTACGTCTAGTAAGGTACCTTTCAATTATCGTGACCACATTTAAGCCTTTATTCCCAAATGCTGGTTACACTGATGTGGGGACCATGAGATATCGACCTACCAAGTTACCGCCATTGGGCCAAACAGGACCTCCATAATAACAGTATAAGTTCATCTCGGAAGCTTGGAGTTGTTTTTGGAAAAGCGCACAGTGAATGATCAGAAATTGCATTAAAAGTATTCGTTTTCGGGAATTAACCGACCATTTCAGCGTTTCATATTTAAAAATAACTTGCTGATTTAACGTTAAGTACCAAATCATAATAGAACTCAAACTACCAAACCAAGCACCTTTACTTACATTCTTTTTCCTCCAATTCAACTTTTAAGACTAATTCCTGGAGTCCCTCAGTCTGATTTCCCTTGAGCTCTCGGTGAAGGGCCATATTGAGCTGTTTACGAAAATCTTGGAGATGGTCCTGCATTAAATTTTGTGGCGCGGCCGCATAAAAGTACGGCATAAAGCCGTGGACATGGGCAACCACACTGTGTCCGCCCTCTGTAACACCGTAAACACGGACGATTGGAACTGGACTGTGGTTTGAGCCAGGCATTCCAGATACTTTTTCACCCTAAAAACATCCAGCTGACTTTCAAGGACGTTTTCAATTTGGCAACCTCAAGCCAACGTCTTTGCAAGCTTTAGTTTTACCAGACGGGTACTAGTAAACATTTAAAACAATGCCGATTATACCAATAACTCCTTGCATAATTACAATGACCATAAGCAGTGTGAAGATTTTGCGACCAGCTTTGTTAAGTTATTAACCGAGGTGACGCAAAATATAAACTGAAAAAGTCCACTTATTAGGTTATTTTCCACCTCGACAATCATTCACGGGCAGAATGCGCAAAATTCGCGCAAGATGAGCAATTCAAACCACATCCATGATCGAAATCCTAAACATCGGTATTAGATGTTGGCAATCAAATATGTCCTCACTAAACTAGCGCCCGTGTGCCATGAAACGTTTTCGAGCACCAACCGATATCAACAAAATGTGCGATGATAGCTAGTGTGGATAATGTTTAACTACCAGCTAACGTTAAATACGCGTGCAAGTTTCCAAAGTTACCCAAATCAATACCAACAAAAATACGGACTAAGGTCCACAAGACAACTAATGCAACCTACTGCAAACTCAGACACGTTACCATTACCTTATAAAAGTCCACGTCAAATTGCTGGAAGACAATTTTATCCCTTCTTGCATCTATTTGTGGGACCTGAGGTCTTGGCCAGGTCTTGGGAATGGTCATATTTGCGTCAGCAGTCAGGACCTCATTCTCGTCAACGAGCACCGCTTCATCACTGATAATTTCATTCTCATCAAGCAGCATGAGCTCCTGCTCAAACGTCGATGGGCCCATCTCGTCGCCGTTGACCCCGGGTCTACGCATGGCAATGGGACTCACATTATTATGATCCACTTTCAATATGCAAATGATAACAAATGGATCAAATCACGGTAACTTGACTGCAACTCAAAAGGCGGACCCGCGTGATGGATCCAACGAGTGATACTATCAACGTACAATGACACACTACAACATACATTATACACGGACATTATATTAACTGGCGGTGAGCAGCAAAATCAGATGGCTTACGACACGAGTACGAGCAAGTGTTTTGGAACCAGTCCCACCTAAACACTCGACAGCATTTAACAAGTGATGTTCATACAATCTAGGTACCAGTTCACCCAACGACGCAGATTCCAAATACACCGAGAACAGACGCATTTGCAAAGCCTCGCAAAGTCAGATTACTCCGTCACAAATTGTTGTGCAAAAAATAACTGCGACTCGTAAAATATAGGAAGCACCACGTCCTATTTATTACTAATCTTTGGGCTTTTAGAAATTCCTCCATAGACGAATTGAAAAGAGCTCTCACAAATCTCTAGATCTGAATGCAAAAAAAAACACAATCCCAACCTACATCTTAGCAATGGCTTATAATTTCAAAAAATGCACCGTTATTACAACAACCAACTATTCCTACGTTAATAAAGCGCCATTACCGGTATCCATGTAAGTGAACCAATCATACACCCAAAAGGGGAACGACTATAAACATGAGTGTTTGCAGAATGCCAAGAAACTGTACATACTCCGACTTGTAGGAAGCAACATAAGTCCATATATTCACTGCTTGTAAATGCAACTTATCTGCGTCTGTGAACCAAACCCTACGTCCATCGACAACAACAATCATTTGTTCAACGGATAGCAAATATGTCCATAAAAAAGGCTTGTCATCGTACCTGCGTCGTTTCATAGTAGGGGTCTGGAAGTTACTTTGACTCAAGGGTTTAAGAGTACCCGGCATTTGAATCCAAAAAAATTCGAAACGACCACCACACCGTTTGAACGTCCGGACCAACAATTTACCAACATCCAATCCGAAGAAGGCTTTTGACTGGGGACAACACGAGTGACCTTGATTGATTTAAGAAGCCGATTTGAGTGAAGTCACTATCGGTTTAACTAAGGAACAGCATGTACTCTTTAAAAAAAATTTTAAGTAAAAAATTTAATAAAAGGTCAATATCTTTTAAACCGTCTACGTACATGTTCTTTCACAAATAGATCATCAAGACCTTCGTTACCACTAAAAATGCGACACTGTTACATATTGCACATGTGTCATTCATAACTTACGCAACACGCATAAAAACTAACCTTAATCTATGTGCTCAGTTACAGCTAATTTGTTGTGAACGAGAGGGAAAGACCAGAACCATCGGTTCCATTTAAACAATATCCCCGCCACAGAAATCCAGGACGCTTAAAATTTCGACAACATCAAGATGGCTGAATTGCGAGTTGTGTAACATTGAAACATCGATTACTGAGGTTAAAATTCAAATGCGAAAAACAATTCTGAGTGGGTCAACAGAGTAGCCAACATCCTTGTTTCGATGGAAGTCAAGTCGATAATACCATACACAATGAAGTTAACATGGTCTTGGTGGCGAATGTTTGCAGTTATCATCCTGCAATGGCAAACTCCTTTTATTATTACAAACTATTACCACTTGATGCTCACCATTTGTTTTCATTTTTAATGGTGCCATCTTCAGAGCCAAATGTTTTTGAATTTAGACTGTTAACCAGCTGCTGACTTCCTACTACGAGATGCAAAGTGAAGCGACTACGCAAAAATCAACTCTAGAGCATATGGCAAGCACAAATAATTAAACTTCTTCGAATACTGCCTAAGTTACCCTACTTAGTTTCATAGCTACCGGTCTCGAATAGGAAAAAGACCGGTACAACAGAACAGGCTTTATTGACCAATCAAAAGCCAGAGCCGCACGTCAGGCGCCTTCCATCCGAGTCCACCACGCTGGCCACGCCGCTCATTATATACTGCATCTCATCCATGTCCTTCTCTGGTTGGCTGCCTTCCTTTCCCGCATGCCATTGGATCGCAGAGAGACACAGGATTGGCTGAGGCCAGGTGGTCCAACATGTCTGCGCCCCAATCCGACGCCACACCACACCACACCACACCTCATTATACAAGGTTAGTTGTTGGTGTTAACAATAATATGAATATAGTATTTGTGCGTCGTCTGTCTTGCTTTTTCGCTTGTGCTGGATATATTTTTGGAATAGCGTTTTTATTATGTGCTATTTGGAAGCGGCTGGAACCAGGGTTGCATTTGTGTCCGTGACATGTTTCCGGCATTCCTCTCACATCATATATTACTTCCAAAGTAAGAGCTTGTAAAATGAAATTTCTGATCCTTTCTCCTTGCGTGGTATATATCCGCTCCTATTGCGTAGACAGCTGTAATTAGGTCCAATAATCCTTTTGTAACTTGCTTCGTTAAATCTATCAATTACTACTCTATTGATATAACAATTCTTAATAGTCAGAGTACGCATTATAGTCGACTGCTCTCTTAAACAACTTCCATTCGCGATTATTTCTTACTGCTCATCAAATATTACCAAAGGCAAGATCAAACAACCTACATTTTAAAGACAATCTGCTAGCTTTTTATGAAAGATATTTTATTTAACCGCATTTGTAGTATGCATTCCAAGTCGTATAATCAAATGTCACCCCTAGTTGCCTTCTTACCTCAATCGAATGCGTGTGTTTTAGAACGAAAATCCAGTGATAGATATGGAGTTTGTTTTATTATCTCATGTTATCGGACTAAGGTCGTCAAACATATTCTCTCGGCTCTTTACGGTTTTAACCTCCTTGAAAAGTGTGCATTTTTAACAGGGTAATTCGTTTTTTCCTTGGTCAGCCAAGAATCTGAGATCAATTTAATTAGGTTTTGCCGGTTTTACTCATTATGAACTTGCCCTCCATTATGTCGGCTCGTCTGAAATTCTACTTGGATGGCATGAGAAATTTTCGCTGAGGGGTTTTCTGTTTTCATATCCGTGATAGAAGCCCAAAGTCTGGTGTTTTTAATCATCTGTTCTACTCACTTACCTGGAGTTTGTGTATATTTCAAGGCTCTATGTGTTACCACCTTTTGGTTTAAGTGACATTTTTTTATTTACTTTGATTAACTGGATTTGTTCATTCTATAACAAACGTAATGCCACATAAATGCTTCGTATATTCTACAAGTAAATATTAGCCATCCAAATTAAGCTTAAGCCAGATTGGAAATCTACCGCCATTCGCGTTGTTTGCGGAACACCATAAGCTGCTTTGTGTACGCCTTGTCCAGACAGCAGTTGGTAGGATTTAAGCTTTGCCGTGTTTGTTGAATTTGCTTTTGGAATTTCTGCGTCATGATGCGCACACATATAGCGAACACTCATGCAAACCTAGTCTGGTTGGCCTTTCTCAAATGATTTGGTTATCTGGTGCTGATGCCTTATTATGTAGGTATCGTGCACCATTTGTATGATGTCAAAAGTTGTTTTTGTTATTGTACAATTTACTTGAGCTTGGCAAACGAGCACAGCTTTTACGCACGAGTTCCTATCTCGCATTGACGTCACCAGGGTATGAGCAGATGGATTTGTTTCTACCGAATTACCTTGATCGACAATCCTAGATTCTGTTGTATGCAAATGTATAAGCGTTTGAGCAAAACCAAGACCACTTCGTGGAGCCATCCATTTGATGACTGCTCATGAGACATAAGTAGTCGTACTTCCGTACTTACAGTTAATGTGCTTTTACCCGTATGTGATTCTAAAAAGCCTTGAGAAGTGAGCAAACATCCAAAGCCAACCCAACTAATCATTTGTTCAGTGAAGGTTCCGTCGATTTACATAATCTTTTTTCTGTCATTGGTTTTAGATGGGGACATTTGTGAAGCTCACACCATCAGCCTACCATGCCATGATGCTCCATTTTGGTATTGATGTCTCACGGGAAATGAAAGGAATTCTTGTTGGTTTAGTAGTATCTTTTGGTAGTAGCTAAATGAGGTTTTCTCTTTGTTCTTTAGTTCAGTCCTCCAAATACATTTGTGGTTACGATCATTCCTCTTTCATCGGTTAATCCGGACACGAATTTAACGTCGATCGATGCCAGATGTAAGGTAGGTCTCCCTTCTTCGCACCTCAAACATCTAATACGGCTTTCAATGAATGTCCGTCGCATAATTTTCAGTTCGAACTATTCGCCTTTTGATGTGGTGTCTTGTGAAGCACTGTTTAACGCTTGTGAAAATTCTGACTGGCGTTGAGCAAGGACTAGAAGTAAAACAAAAGTAGCATGGCAATTGGCACAGTCCATTCCGTTACAGTTCATTTGAAAGTGTAGATTCTTTAATACTATGTGTTGGTACTTGAATCGGTACCTTCATGAGTTCCAAAACAATGTAGCAGTGCTTTTCCTAATTGTTTGGTTTGTATTTCAATAAAAATGCAGTTCTGTTTCCTGTTTTCAAAATACTTTAACCAAATATGGACTTGGTCATTCAAATGTTTGAAAATAAATATAATCTATTACCTTGGTCCTGGGGGTTGTTGGAAAATCTTGGGCTCGATAGGCATTTTGATGGAGCATATCATTAAGTGTAGTGTTGTAGGTTCACGTATTTGTCATTTAAGTTGCGTTTGTAGCAGATTCAAATTTGAAACCCCCCAGGTAATCTAACGTTAAAGTATTTTTTGCCCAATGTCATGCAGAACTAATTGACTTTCATTTGTGTAATACCTGAGCCTTCCTAGTCAACTGTAGCCAACCCGATCATTATTCTAATGTAACCCATTTTAAATCATTATTTACAATTTGACATATTTCCTTCATTACTTTGCAACCACTTAAACATTCCTAAAAATATTCGAATTAAAAAAGGCATTTCGTGTCGTTCAGGTTTTCTTATATCCATTGTCTTTCCTCGTTTTTAAGGAATTGAGTCGACTTGCGGGTACGCAGCTTACTGTAGTGGGTTGGTATCATT